GGGTTGTTTTGTTGTATTTTTTTTTTGTAAGCCTTTCTTTTCCTTTGCCCACTCGTAGGACCGTATGCAGTTGCGAGCACCGTAAAACTCTTACTAAACTAACTTTCTTTTCACATGCTTGTGGTTACAGAAGAAAAAGTGGAGAAACTCCAAGACTTTCTGTCCAAGATGTTTGAGAGCGGCAACGGTTCGCACGAGAGCCCCAAGGCTGTGAAGCCCAACGAGCTGATGGGGACACTGACGGAGAAATACCGTTGCGCCCTCCGCAGGCTGAAGGAAAGGGGAGAGCTGGCCGCAGTGTGGTCTCAGTCCAGCTAGCGGAGAGCGCGACCAGGAGGAGGAGGATTGTACGCAGAGTGACCTGAATTGTGGGAGATTGGGGAGGGGGGGGGGTGTGTTGTGACGACACATGTTTTGTCATGATTAACTGAGGAGAATAAGATTCCAGGCCTGCCTGATGTTCCAGATTTCTCAGGACTGCCTCCGAATGTAGCAATCAGGAATGTGAGAGGACATTACAAACACTACACCAGAACCAGTCCCTCTTGGTGTGATTTGTTTGTTGGTGCATAATGGGATGTTATAACGTAGGGTGTCTCCTGATTGGGTTTTGAAAAAGTTGTCAAGCCATGAGATTCTGAAATTCTGATGTAATGTTGCCTCTAAACTACTAGAGAATGGCTTCAGTCATAGGGGGAAAGGGGATTTGTCGGAAGTCTGCTTTATGTTCAGGGTCACTGCTTTTGCCTTAATCATCTGGGCTAAGGCGTATTGTGGAAAGGAAGGAGTCTTCTGTCTTTCAGTTGTTGATCTACAGTCGTACTAAACTCTGAGCTGGTTTCTCCTAACTCTGGGTGAATGTGTACGTGTTGACGGCAACTCTGCGTTGTAACAGATTCCCCTATAATTTAATTTACGAGCTGAGCAGCAGGGTACGATGCGGGGGTTCTTCAGTTTTTCCAGCCAGCGAGCCGGCTGTTTCTTCAATAAGTTTCAGCGACTTTGTTGAAGATCAAGTGTTGTTGTTGTTGTTTTCTGTACAGATGGAGGCCTGCTTCTTCCTCTGAACTCTCCACTGAACCTTGTTGAGGTTTTTTTTTGCTGTGAAAATTGACAGGACTAAGGCTTTTTATGGCAATTCAGCGGATGGTTTTGAATGCCTTCTGCCACTAGTAAATATTACTCCCCTTTCCCCCCCCCCCCATCGCTATTTTGTTTTCTCTTTATAATATGATATTCAAACTGCTCTGGCAGTCGGTAAACCTACCGCGAGAAAGAGAAACCTGCGTTTTAAAGAGACGGAACTTCATTTCGATGGTCTTGCTATTACTTTTTTTTTTCACGATTTGGTTGTTATTGATCCAGGTTCACGATTGGGTGTAGTGGCGAGATTCTTCCCGGTAGCATGCCAAAGACATGAGTTTGATTCATTAGTTGAGAAGGTCCGTTTCATCAATCGTCGTCTATCTTTTTTTTTGGTGTGTGTAGGGGGGGGGGGGGGGGG